TGTGTAGATGTACCACAGTTTCCTTATCCACTCATCTGATGATGGACATTTGGGCTGGTTCTAATTCTTGGCTGTTGTAAATAGTGCTGCAATAAACACTAGAGTACAGGTATCCCTTTGGCATGATTATTTCCATTCCTCTTGGTATATTCCCAGCAGTGGAATAGCTGGATCATATGGTAGATCTATCTCCAATTGTTTGAGGAACCTCCATACCATTTTCCATAAAGACTGCACCATTTTGCAGTTGCACCAAGAGTGGATGAGAGTTCCTTTTTCTCCACAACCTCACCAGCATTTATCAATCTCAGTCTTTTGGATATTAGACATCCTAACTGGAGTGAGATGGTATCTTAAAGTGGATTTGATTTGCATTTATGCTGAGTGATGTTGAGCATTTTTTCGTGTCTGAATGCTGAGTGATGTTAAGCATTTTTTCATGTTTCTGTTGGCCATTTGTATTTCTTCCTTTGAGAAAAGTCTATTCAGCTCCTTTGGCCATTTTTTAATTGGGTTGCTTTTTTGCTGTAAAGTTGTTCGAGTTCCTTGTATATTCTGGACATTAATCCTTTGTCAGATATATATTTTGCAAACATTTTCTCCCACTCTGTTGGTTGTCTTTTCACTCTGTTGATTGTTTTTTTCGCTTGTGCAGAAGCTTTTTAGTTTGATATAATACCACTTATTTTTCCTTTAGTTGCCTGTGCTTTTGGGGTCATATTCATGAAGTCTGTACCCACTTCTACTTCCTGGAGTGTTTCCCCTATGTTTTCTTTAAGGAGTTTTATTGTTTCAGGATGTATATTTAATTCTTTAATCCATTTTGAGTTGATTTTGGTATATGGTGAGAGGTATGGGTCTAGTTTAATTCTCCTACATATGAATATCCAGTTTTCCCAGCACCATTTGCTGAAGAGTCAGTCTCTTCCCCAGTGTGTAGACTTGGTGCCTTTGTCAAAGATCAGATGGCTGTAGGTGTATGGGTTGATTTCTGGGTTCTCTATCCCATTGATCTGTGTGTCTGTTTTTATGCCAGTACCATGCTGTTTTGGTTATTATAACTTTGTAATATAGTTTAAAGTCAGTTAGTGTTATGCCTTCAGCTTTATTATTATTATTATTATTTTGCTCAGGATTGCTTTGGCTATATGTGGTCTTTTGTTATTCCATATAAATGTTAGGATAGTTTTTTCCATTTCAGAGAAAAGTGTCATTGGAATTTTGATGGGGATTGCACTGAATCTGTAGATCACTTTGGGTAATATGGACATTTTCACAATGTTAATTCTTCCAATCAAAGAGCAGGAGATATCTTTCCATCTTCTTGTGTACTCTTTAATTTCTCTCAACAGTGGTTTGCAGTTCTCTTTGTAGAGATTTTTCACATCCTTGGGTAACTTTATTCCTAAGTATTTTATTTTTTTTGGTGGCTACTGTAAATGGGCTAGATTTCTTGATTTCTTTTTCTGCATGTTCACTGTTTGAGTATAGAAATTCTCCTGAATTTTGTGTGTTGATTTTGTATCCTGCAACTTAGCTGAAATCATTTATCAACTCTAAGAGTTTTTTTGTAGAGGCTTTAGGCTGCTCAATATGTAAGATCATATCATCCGCAAATAGGGACAGTTTGACTTCATCTTTTCCAATCTGGATGCCCTTTATATCCTTCTCTTCTCTGATTGCTCTGGCTAGTACTTCCAACACCATGTTGAATAGGTGTGGTGAGAGTGGGCATCCTTGTTTAGTTGTGTTCTATCCATTCAGGATGATATTGGCAGTGGGCTTATCATATATGGCTTTTTTTTTGTCCTTTTTCAGACTGGCCACACCACGCTCAGCCAGTGAGCAGACCGGCCATCCCTATATAGGATCCTAACTGACGGTGGGAGCGCTGCTGTGCTCCCAGCACCGCACTCTCCCGAGTGTGCCACGGGCTCAGCCTATCATATATGGCTTTAATTGTGTTGAGATACTTTCCATCTATAACTAACTTGTATAGAGTCTTTGTCATGAACCAAAGTTGAATTTTTTCAAGTCCTTTTTCACTGTCTATAGAGATGATCATATGGTTTTTGTCTTTGCTTTTATTAATGTGGTGTATCACATTTATTGATCTGAGTATGTTGAGCCAACCTTGCATCCCTGGGATGAATCCCACTTGACCGTGGTGTATAATTTTGTGTATGTGTTGCTGTATTCTGTTAGCTAGTATTTTATTGAGGATTTTTGTGTCCATATTCATCAGGGACATTGGCCTGTAGTTTTCTATTTTTGATGCATCTTTGTCTGGTTTTGGTATCAGGGTGACAT